CCAGGAGTTCGAGACCAGCCTGGCCAACGTAGTAAAACCCCGTCTCTACCAAAAATACAAAAATTAGCCAGGTGTGGTGGCTCACGCCTGTAGTCCCAGCTACTCAGGAGGCTGAGGCAAGAGAATCACTTCAACCCGGGAGGTGGAGGTTGCAGTGAGCAGAGATCACACCACTGCACTGTAGCCTGGGTGACAGAGAGAGACTCTGTCCAAAAAAAAGAAAAAAGAAAAGAAAAGAAGGAAAACTGGAGAATCCTCCTCTTAGAGGCACCCAGTAAGAAAACGTACCAATCTGAGGCATCTGTAGGACAGCCATGAAAAGGGTCTGCCTGGGCCTTGGAGACAAAATCATCTGGATTCCTCATGAACTAGAAAAGATTCAACTTCTCCAAGCCTCAGATTCCTTATCTATAAAATGGCAAACCTAACACTATCCCTGCAGGTTGTTGTAAGAATAAAGCACCAAGCACAGTGGCAGGCAAACAGAGGTGCAATAAATGTCCATTTTCCTCTCTGCAGTCCTTTCTTTAGCTCCATATAAAGGTGCATTCCCAACTAAGTGACACCATTTGAAGAGTTCATTCTTATCTTAAGAAATAAAATTATCACCTTAAGAAACAAAATTCTCTATACCCTAACCTTAATGCCTGAAAGGCTAACAACTTGCTATGTCGGGGCAAATGCCACCAAATGGCACTAGGTTTGGGAAAGAAGAGTCTGGTATGTGCTGTGCATTTCAAAGGTTTTATGAAGTCATAGAACATAATCCTTACACTGACGATGTCTTCCTCACCGCCTCACCTTCCTCACCACTCTGTCACCTCAGGACAGAGTGGGCCCCTCTCAGTTATGTCTCAACCTTCTATTGCACTTATTAGAATTGTAATTATATAGTTATCCATGAGATTCTTTGTTTTATGTTTGTGCACTCTCCAAGAGCCTAGCATAGTGCCTGGCACATAGAAGATGAATGAATGAATGAATGAAGAAAATGTTCACTGGCCTTATCACCTTCCAACCATATATCAATTCTATGATGACCCGGGGGTATGGATTACACCATCACTTTACAGAGGATGAAAGCTTGCATCACTGTCAAGGTCAGCCATTGAGGAAGTGGTGGGGCAGGCACTTCAGCCAGCCCAGACTTCCTAACACCAAATCCTTGTTCATTCCTGCTTCTCTGCCCCTTGACTCACCAGCCTCACCTTCATGTCTATTCTGATGGTAACATCCTAGGGGGTACCATTCCCTGTCTAGGCATGTCATTTGGTGGCCAACTGCCACATTTTGAGTGCAGAAGGTCTACTTTCTACCCTAACTCATTGAGCAATGGGTTATTTATTGGCTGACAACAGCCCTAGCTGATGGTGGCACAGCAAGCCCTTGCATGTTCATCTGCACAAGCCTCAGGAAGCAGACAAAGGATTCCCAGAGTTGGAAACCTAAGCTGGTTGGGTCTGTGCTGTTTGTCAGGGGGGGATCCTTGACATTCAGCTTGAATACCTGTAGTCGTTCCATTCATAATAATAATTCTCTCAAAGCACTAGGGCAACTGGGTCTCAGTTTACATGCTCAATTCCCTTTTAATTGCTATCCATTCTTTACTAATTAACCAAGTTTCTGACACAGACATGCAGTAAACATCTCAGCCCTGTTCATTCTGTCTGTGAAACCTAGTTCACAATCTAGCCTTACTGGTTTATGAAGTCCGCCTGTTTCTGCCTTTTTAACCTCTCCATCTCTGGGGATCTCTGGAGAACACGTAGAGGCACATGTTCAAGGAGACATTGAACTTAATGTTTAGACAGACATGAGGGTGAACACCTGGAGTGGAAATGCCAGATGTGTGTGCATGGCCCAGTTTACCTTTTACTGGTTGTGACATGCGCAACGAGTGATTTCCCCTCCACAGGTTCAGTCTCTGCCTCTTTGAGCCTGCAGCGGTTTCTCCCCAAGCTGTGTTCCTCTAGTCCATTTAATCTTCTAAACAGACAGACTGCCCTCGATGACAAATCAGAACAAGAGAAACACTCCTGCACCACTCCAGAGCTCACTCGAGGCTCTCTATCAGGCAGAAAAGATTATCCCTAAGCCTACTGTGGTCTGGAAGCGCTTGTAACAAGATTGTCTTTGTAACAACTTCCTTAAGGAGACTTCAAAGCCCTTTATTAACCCACACAGTAGCTGAGCTGGTAGGGACAGAGCAGTAACACCCCTTGAAATGTGGGTGGCATCTGATTCCTGGTGGCTCTTGGAGGAGAAGCTACTCCATCCCTTCAAACCCACCGCGGACAAGTGGCTTCATTGGTCAGTAAGGTTGGCCTGAGAGTGTGCACAGGCTGAGGGTCAGCACAGACGTGAGATCAGAGAAGGCCTGTCTGGCTGCTGTGGCCAAGAGAAGAGGGCATGACGGGCCAGGTCACAAACCCAGGGGTCCTGTACCAGGACTAGGGTGGACACCCTTCCACAGCCCGTGTGGCCTGAGCAGTATGCATAGGCAGCAGCGGGTAGAATCATAGAGAGGGGAGGAAGCTGAGCCTGGCACCTGCAGCAGTGCAGAGACACGCGGAGGGCCTGGGGAAGCCAGAAGCACAAATGACCACAGTGGTGGCAACAGCAGTGGGAAGATTTAGCGGGTATTAGGGGCAGCAGGTTAAGAAGACTTTTGACTTAACAATTGGACATGGGCTGAATATAAAAGGCATCAGAAGCACGTGTATATGACTGGATAGTGGCGTGCACACATTTCAAAGCATTCAGACCTGTGAGAAAAGTGGGCAGAAGTGAGCAACAGGTGATGATAATGTGCACTGGAAACAGAGCTTGGACACTGAGCCAGGCCAAGATACACAAGATCTAGCACAGTCTGTAGGGATGGAAAGGTGTGATCCCTTTCCTCCCCCATCATAAAGGTCACAGCTGACACTCAAATAACAAGACAGGCCAACAAGAGAAAAGCACAATGACTGTATTTATCTCAGTTTTATGTGACACAAGAGACTTCAGAAACGAAGACCCAAAGACTCAGGGAGAACTGTGTTTCTGCTTAGATTTGACAAAGCATGTGGATGGCTGTGTAGAAATGTGATTGGACAGAAGGGTGTGATCTCACAGTGATAGACTGAGGGGAACCCAGCAAAGCCTGTCTGTTCCGATTCTTCTTGACCTCTCTGTGCAGCATTGCTTTCTCCTGGGTGTGGGGCAGGACCCCTCCCGAATGAGGGTCTTTAAGGGAAAAGGGAGAGGGGAGAGAGTGACCGTTCTGGGTTTTATGGCTTGCTGTGGAGGAGAGGGGCTCTAGTTTCTATGAGCTGCCTGGGGAAGAGGGATTCTGCTTTCTGCCATTCACTTAGCGGGAGAAGGAGGAAAAGGAGACAAGAGGATGGGAGAAGGACAGAGAGACCTTGTTTCTGGGGCCTTTTCAGTTTCCTTCAGTTCAAAGTACTCAGCATGCCAAGGTGCCATACTTTGGGGTATTGTGTTCTGAGCTCCCAAAAAAGTGCCTGACACAGCAGGTCCTCAGTAAATAATGTAAGTCCCTTTCTTCTGCTGCCACCCCAGAAGAGGAACCCTCTCCCCCAGCTTTCTAGTGAGGACGGAATGATGTATTGAACTAGCATGAGCCCCATCTACTTACCTGTTACTAGGGGGAATTGTAATAAGCTCTTCATGTGTACCCCACTGTGCTGTTCTCCTATTCTCAGTTCATCTCTTTGCATCTAAACTTGGAAGGTAAGAACCTAATCAGGATGCACTGAACTCATCTGAGCACAGCTGTCTTGTCCAGTTCCTTAACCTGTGCCAAGTCCAGACGGGCACGTGAAGAAAAAAAAAGCGTGAAGGAGGCTTTTGCCCAAATAGCACTGTGCTTGGGGGATTCTGAGTAGGGCTGAAACAGCCTTTACAAAAATTGTAACTGAGGAAATTATGGCAGTGACAAAGATCAGACCTAAATGACTCAGTCTTTCTTCTAACCTTTATGCTGTCTCCGTTCATTCCCGGGCACAGGCCAAACTAACCTTAGAAAGGAATTCAGTTTATGGTTTGACTCAGAAACAAAATCATTAATAGCCCTTTCCTGAAAAGACCCCCTTCTTGCCTGGGGACCAGTCTGCCTTTGTAAGACTAGTCAATTAGTTACCACATTAGAAATTATGGTTTAGGGGCCCTGCTGCAAGAGTCTGAACCTTCCCAAATTGCTGCTGGAGATAACATCACTATTGTAAAACCTATTTTGCAGACCCTGCACTGGATGGATCAGCTGACACCACTCAGACCCTGTGTGATCTGGCTCAACCAGTTCTGGGATCCCACCCAGGAACAGAAGACTGCAAGAAAACCTTACTTCAAACCCTCTGTGATTTTATCTCCAACCTGACCAATGAGCACTCCCAAAGTCCCAAGCTCCTACTGGCCAAATACTCTTTAAAAACTCCCAGAGGCAGGGCGCAGCCTGTAACCCCAGCACTTTGGGCTGATCATGAGACCAAGCGATCAAGACCAGCCTGGCCAACGTGGTGAAACCAGTCTCTACTAAAAATACAAAAAAATTAGCTGGGCATGGTGGCACGTGCCTGTAATCCCAGCTACTCAGGAGGCTGAGGCAGGAGAATCGCTTGAACGCAGGAGGCGGAGGTTGCAGTGAACCCAGATCGCGCCACCGCACTCCAGCCTGGTTGCAGAGGGAGACTCCATCTCGACAAACAAACGAGCAAACAACTCCTGGAATGCTTGAGGAGACTGATTTGAGTACTGGAATCCCAGCACTTTAGGAGGCCGAGGCAGACGGATCACTTGAGGTCAGGAGTTCCAGACCAGCTTGGCCAACATGGTGAAACCCCGTCTCTACTAAAAATACAAAAATTAGCCGGGCGTGGTGGTGGGCGCCTGTAATCCCAGCACTTTGGGAAGCCAAGGCAGGTGAATCACATGAGGTCGGGAGTTTAAGGCCAGCTTGGCCAACATGGCGAAACCTCACCTCTACTAAAAACACAAAAATTAGCTGGGTGTGGTGGCATGCGCCTGTAATCCCAGCTACTCGGGAGACTGAGGCAGGAGAATCGCTTGAACCCGGGAGGCGGAGGTTGCAGTGAACCGAGATCGCTCCGTTGCACTCCAGCCTGGGCAACAACAGAGACTCCATCTCGAACAAACAAACGAAGGAAAACCTCCCGTCTCTGGCACAGCAAGCTCTGCGTGAATTACTTTCTCCATTGCAACTCCCCTGTCTTGATAAATGGGCTCTGTCTAAGCAACGGGCAAGGTGAACAGTGGGCTGTTACAGGACCAGTGACAGACCAAGGGCATGCCACTGACGGGATCCCTAGACGCACCCTTCTGGATGTGAGGCAGGCGGATCTCACCCACGCCTGCCAGCAGCTCCTCGGAGAACTGGGTTCCCAGGTCAGCCCTGGCCCGGAGGTGCGCCCGGGACCCGCAGAGCGCGGCTGAAGTCAAGGCTACAACTCACCTAGGATCTGGGGCGCCAGCCCTCCGGTGGGCAGGGCGTTCTCCTCCCCCACCCCCACCCCGCACGATGACATCAGTGTTTGGGGTTGAGTTGCTCCATAAAAGCAGCCCGGGGAAGCCAGGAGAGCGAAGGGCGGACGTGCTCGCCACGGCACCCGGGCTGCGCGCACACGGTCCCTGTGTGCGGCTGGAGGCTGGAGCGTGAGCGGCCACCGGGAGCCCCCGGGACAGCCCGCGCCCGCCCTGCAGGAGCCCGCGAACATGCCCCGGAGCAGCCTGCACACAGCGGCCGTGCTCCTGCTGGTGATCTTAAAGGAACAGCCTTCCAGCCCGGCCCCAGCGAACGGTAAAGTTTCCGCCTGCTTCTTTCCTAACACTCCTGAGCGCTCAGCCGCCCCTGGACTGAAGGCTCTTCAATGATAAAGTAAAATCTTTGCTGGGGGGGAGCAGGGAAGGTGTAGTACCAAATAGTACAGTCTCAAGAAAGGATGCTCCGTTTTCCTTTGCTAAGGTTGGGGCTGGAAGCACTTTGCTTTCTAGTGGCGGTTGGCGCAGATTTAGTGCTAAAATGTTTGCGTGTACTCCCGAGCACCGCCAGCTCTGAAGATGTGGCTTGCGAACTTGCTAACCAGGGAGGAGATGCAAAGACAAGATTTAAAACAGTGTTCCCCCGATCCACGTTTGAAAGTAGAGAGGTGACTGTGGCATTCTGAGTGGGGTAAGCACAGAGAAAGGTTTGCTGTGCCCCTGTGCAGAATCCGCACACAGTGGTAGGCACTTTTCTTTGGAGAACAGGATCTTTACCGTTAAGTCTTACCTACAAGTCAAAGGGATGATGCATCCCATTCTTAATCATTGTTTTTCTCCAGGAGGGCTCTACTATGCTGAACGTACATGTGTGTGCACGTACACATGCATGCACGCGCGCGCGCGCACACACACACACCCCTTATTTCTGATTGCAATTAGAACACTAAATCCCAAAGGACTGGAGGCTGAGGGACTGGGTGGAGGCTGAGTGGGGTGGCAGGAGGAGGTGGCAGGGGGGACCCGAACTGTGGGCTCATGCGAGGCCAGTGAGCTAACATGTGTACAGCCAAGACTGGTTCGTTAATCTTTTGGAACAAGAAAGTGATTTTGGACCGAAAGTGATTTTAATGGCTGAAAATGGATTCTTCCTGGCTAGGCAGCAGTGGTGGGAAATACGTCCTGCTCAGCAGCATAAAAGCTCTGAGCCTCCTCTCTTGGAGGTCGCGGTGCCCATGGGGAAGGGCAGGGGAGCCAGGCTTTGGATAACTCTTAATTAAATTCCAATCGACTAGCTGGCATGATATGTTTGATATTATCTCCCTCATCTGGTCAGGGAGAAACAGAAGGTAGGTGGGAGAAAGGAGTGATGTAAAAGTGAAAATCAAGTTTTAAAACCACAAACTTTACATGTATCCTCCTTTTACGCAAGATTCACTGAGACCAAAGTTTCCCTGGAAATCTAAACCGCTCCAAGACAAAAGGGAGAAACAGCCATTAGTTGGCCCTCTTTCCTATAGCTGGTTGCTCCTCTCACTCTGGGGCAACTCCCCCTCCCTTCTCTCTCTTTTCCTGCCTTTCCCTGTTCTCCTGCCTCCCTCCCTCCCCTTCCTTTCTTCCCTACTTTCCCTGCTCTCCCTCTTCCTCCCCTCTCCCTTTCCTTCCTTCCTATCTCTTCTCCCAATTCTCCAAGTTGGGATTGGGGAAGCTTGCAGTCAAAACTCCACTTTCACCTCACTCTGAGGAAGGAGCCTGCCTACCCCTGGGTTCTAAGAACACAGTTTTTATTCTGTAAATTCTCATGCAGCTTCCTCCGGTTTTTAACTGCCTTAGAGGACAGGTCAAAGCAAAAATCACTGAGGTGTAGAATGTCAGTATGAACCCAAAGTTGGGGGTGGAGAGGAGTTAAGCAGAGTAATGGGGTCAAAGTGCTGTCTGCCCTCTGCCTGGTGCATTAAACTTCCAGCATTGGAGAATGTTCAAGAACAATGTCAGGGGCCCAGGAGGGAGAATAATAAGGTGAAGCCAAGTGTCTTCTGGAGAAACCCTTGGAATTCTTAGTTGCCGTGGCTTTGGGGGGACATTTCAGTGAATTCTGCAGAGCTTGCTCTGCGCAAACCTGGTGTGGAGAGCCAGGCAGTCTTGGGCTACCCAGGTGATGTTTACTCAGGGAAAGTTCTAGCACCCAGCACAGGAAGCAGGCAGGGCCCAGGACCTCTGATATGGATCTTGGTAAATATCATTTTCTCAGGCATTCCCTCCAGGGGAACCTCCCTGCTCAGTACCAGCTGGGTCTGCAGGTTCTAACAGGCTTCAGGTTGAGCCTCCCAGGTTTCCCAGATGGAACAGATAACCTTCCTTTGGAAGAAAACTATTCCCTTCCAGGAAGGGCCTGCTCCCTCAGGATGCCACCGAGGCCTTGATCTGGCCTTGCCTGTGGAATCAGTTTAATCCTGTTAAGCCTTCTGTTCTTACAGCTAGAGGTGGGGAACCAGGGGGTGCAATTCCTGAATAAAGCACACTTTCATGCACATGCACACACACGCACACATACACACACATGCACACACGCATACATACACACACTTTTAGAAAGTCTTCCTGAGGTCAGATCTGAGCTGGGGCCCTGATCCTCACCCGATGAACCCCCTTGACTCGCCATCCTCACCTTCATTTTACAATGCCGCTTCTCCCCTTCTCCAGCTCCTGAGCCCCTCCAGACACTGCCATTTATACCCAACGTGCCAAGTCTGGAGTCCCAAGCCAGCTCACTCACAGAGAGGAGGGCAGGGAATGTTGCTCTGAAGGCTGCTGCCTTTCAACAAGTCCCCAGTTCTATGTCATCACTGAGACCTCACAGTCCCAGGTGTCAACTCTATGACTTTTATCCCTGAACTTTCCGGAGTGTGATGCTGAGGCCTCATCTGAGGATGGGAGCTCCAACAACAGGAAAAACCTCGATTAGCAAGCTCTGGGGAGGATAGAAGAAGATGTAGGGTGTAAGGCTGTGATTTGAATGAGAGCAGGTGCAATGCAAACTGCTGGCAAAGTAGCAGTGCTCAGGCAGCAGATGTGCTTCTAGTGGCCTCCAGGATCACTGGAGTGGCCTGTGCCTCCTCAGGGGAAAAGTAAGGGTGAACTCCTCTGTTACTTGTGGAATTTTACATCCTGGGCCTACAACTGTTCTGCTTGCTAAGAAGTAATGATCTGGCTTATTATATCTCTAAAGTCCGGGATTACATCTTACTAGTGAACCCCTCACACAAAAGACTGAAGAAAAACGTCCAGACGAGGTTTTATGTCTTCTATAGCTTGGTTTTAAAGAAATGCTTTCTTTATTTCTTTTCATTGTTGTTTCAGCAAAGGGGTGAGCAGTAAACTTGGGGGTCACATACAAGTTTGGTTTCCCTATGGTTCTGAATATCTTCATCCAATTACTAATTCAAGAGAGGTTGATCTTGGACCCTCAACTCTCAATGTGCCCATAGCTGGTTTCAGGGGAGTCTGTGGACCTTCTGAAATGAATTGTATATAAAAATGTGTGTGTCTAAGCTTAGGGCATTTTTTTTTTTTTTTTTTTTTTTGAGACAGTCTTGCTCTGTGGCCCAGGCTGTAGTGCAATGGCACGATCTCAACTCACTGCAACCTCTGCCTCCTAGGTTCAAGCAATTCTCCTGCCTCAGCCTCTCGAGTAGCTGGGATTACAGGTACCTGCCTCCACCCCTGTCTAATTTTTGTATTTTTAGTAGAGACAGGGGTTCACCATGTTGGCCAGGCTGGTCTCAAACTCTTGACCTAAGGTAATCCGCCTGCCTCAGCCTCCCATAGTGCTGGATTACAGGCCTGAGCCCCTGCACCCGGCCAGCTTAGGGACATTTTTATTGGGAGAGGTCCATAATACTCATCAGATCCTCCAGGGGCTCTGGCCTCCTCCACTTAACTACTCCAAAGATTGAGGAGATTTGAAGATTCCCTAAGTTCACGGCACTAATGGTAAATTAATGGTAAATGTGGTGGGACTCCTCTTAATGGGAATGTGATATTGGGCAGGACACTTCACCTTGGTGGACTTTCATTTCCTCACCTATATATAGGAGATGGGCTATGAGTGAAAGAAAGAGATCTAAACTCTTCCTCTTCCAGAGTGGGATGTCAATAAATAATTCCCAAACCTAAAACAATCAAGGTAAAACAGTATTAGCATGTTATATGGAGATACGGAGATAATAGCAAAAGATTCATTTTAAAAAGATCCAAAGTGGTTGCTCTAGGGAGCCGTACACGGTTAGGGAATGTCAGGGAACTGAGGTTTTTGTTAAACAGCCTTGGAGAACCATCTGACTTTTTAAACCATGTGCAAGTGTAATTTGATAAAAATTACCAATTACATTTGAAAATTAAAAATGAAATTAATTACAAACACGGAGGCAAAGAAATGGAACCGAATAACAAAAAATATGAGATTTAACCAGCTTAAAAAAAAGAAGGCAAGTTCACTTTTTAACTTTTAAAAAACACAATTTGCTTGAGTAGGAAATGCCAGGAGTGATAAGTGACCAGATTGCTTGTCAGTTAAGTTTTACTGCAAACTAATTCCCACGAGAGAAACGCTTTTCCATCAGTACCCTTGCGGGTCGATAACCACGGAGACCCTGGGAAAAGTTGGGAGGGAGGGATTTAGGAGTTGCACAGTCCCCTCATTGGATGAGTCCCCTGAGACACACAGTGGGATGCGTCTCTACTCAGGGTCCCCTCCTCGGAGATGAAGAGGAAGGCCGGCAAGCAGGGTCACAAGAGCATCGTTCTGCACTTGTGAAAAAGACCTTTTTGACATAGGAACGAAGAACCTTTATGCATGAAGGGTGTGGAGTGGGAAGTAGTAGGTGACTTTTGTTCTATTTCTGGCAGGATTTTGCCTACACATTCCTACTACCCCTGGAATTCTAACTCAGATGTAGATAGCAGCTTCCTCAAATAGAACCTTTTTCCCAGCTGGGTGCTGTGGCTCATGCCTGTAATCCCAGCCCTTTGGGAGGCTGGGTTGGACAGGTCACTTGAGCCCAGGAGTTTGAGATCAGCCTGGGCAACATAGCGAAACTCCATCTCTATGAAAAATACAAAAATTAGCCAGGTGTGGTGGTGCACACCTGTAGTCCCAGCTACTAGGGAGGCTGAAGTGGGATGATTGCCTGAGTCCAGGAGGTTGAGGCTGCAGTGAGCTGCGATCACACCACTGCACTCCAGTCTGTGTGACAGAGTGAGATCCTGTCTCACAAAAAGAAAGAAAGAGAAAGAGAGAGAGAGAGAAAGAAAGAAAAAGAAAGAAAGAAAGAAAATAGAAAGAAGAGAGAGAAAGAAAGAAAGAGAGAAAGAAAGAGAGA